ACTGGGTGACACTTAACGCCCTTATAAGTGGAGCAGGCGCCAAATGCAGGGCATGCCAAGTTTGGAGTGAACCTACGGGTTTGTTTGGTTAACGTACTTATAGCCCACAATCCGACGATTGGGCTGGGCTTTGACGGCGCGGTCATGGCAATTAAAACCCTTATTAGCACAGGTTGCAGGACGAGAAACGTCTTGTATAGAAATGGGACCTTCCCTCTCAGGACGCTGTCTATGTGGGAAAAACAGGGTTTTCGACAAAGGTTGTCCAAATCAAACCAAACTTCGTTTTTGGGTTCTCCCTGACCCAAAGACATGTCAAAAGTTTTTTGAAATTTTTTCGACAAAATTTGTCGAAATAGGAATTTTTTTTCTATTTTACTCTAAAGACGCGGCAGTTGATTTTGAAAAAAATCTTTTTTTCTGAAAGGTCAACTAACGAGGAACATTTTGAGTTGTGTCCTATGTCCTGGTCTTGCTTAGTTTAATTGATATCCACCATTTTACGTTACGTGTTTTTCTCATTTTTACCTAAAAAATCAAAAAATGCCCCTTTGTCGGTCAATTTTATTATAACTAGAGTCAAACTGAAGATATTTTATCTTTGTGAACCTCCTTCCATGCTTAACACACTACATCTGGTTCCCCAAATAAACACAGTGTGTCCCTAAATACCATAACGGGTCATTTAACATTACATTTTGGAATAACCAGCACCGTGTGTGTCTATTGCTGGAGCAGTAGAGCAGCCCAACTGTTTGTCACTGAAACAAGATTATTATTTTTTATCCACTTGTGAAGGATGAATCGTTTCAATCTTTAATCTTCACAAGTGGATAAAAAATAATAATCTTGTTTCAGTGGCAAATAGTTGGGCTGCTCTACTGCTCCAGGAATAGATACGGTGCTCGTTACGGTCCTTTTGCCCCCCCCCCATACGCGCTTGGTAAAATTATCTACTCAGGAAAACGGGATCCGGGACTTTTCCAATCAGGACTGTTTCACTCCCTTCATAAAATAGGACTATAAGGGAAGTGAAATAGGACTTACATTTCAGTGCGGGACGCCCAGCGAATTTCGCCATCGAGCTGCTCATGCTCAAATAATAATCATACGGAAAATATCACGCGGTCGGTTGGTTTAACTTCTCTTGAATGCATAACGTGTCTACTTCTTTGCAGACACGGCCGGAATCTTCGTCGACGCTGCCTCTCGTTCACTTCGCCACTCGCTTCATCATGGAGTGCAACATCTGCATGGAGAAGATGAATGCTACCGAGCGACGTCCTAAGTGCATCCCTTGTGGGCACACTGTTTGCCTGCACTGCCTAACAAGAATCAGCTCGCAGATATGTCCAGAGTGTCGACAGGTATGTGTCCCGCAAACTTATGAGCTTTTGAGTAAGTCACATCTAAGGAAAAATAATAAAAGCAATTTTGGATTCCCTCACCTTTGGTCCTACATATCTCACTGAGAGCTCCTCTTGTTTGGGTCACTGCGGAGAGCTATTAGTTCATTTCGGTGAAATCATGTGTCTCAGTGCCAAGGCTTATCAATGTCTTTGTACTAGATTTCTCCTGAAGTTCTCATGATACAAATTTTGGGCGCTTAAAATGGGAAATGAGATGTATTTTCAATTCAAAGTGAAGGAATTGAAACAATGTGAAGAAATTAATGTTGTTGTAACACTAGGCTCGTCTCACTTGTCACCTTTGTTGGGAATTGACTGTTTCTAGGGCTTTGCCGGGCCGCCCAACTCCCTGCCTGACAACTATTTTCTACTGGGCTTGATGGAAAAGGGACAGCACAACCGCACAGATGCCGGGTAAGATGTGGTGCCAAATTTTACCCTTACTCCGAAACTCTCATATCTGTTTTGTTTTAAATTTACTGTATAGTGAAAAAAGGGGCTATTTGGCAGTTTTAAAATACTTGCGTCAGATGTCTCAATTAATGGGTAAAAGTTCCTTCCTTTTGCCTAAACTCATACTCTAAGAGTAGGGCCCCAACTCCTATTAGTTTCTGAGTTAAGGAGGTTTACATAAACTTTTAGACGTTTCTCCCAAATTCTCCTCACAACAAAGGATCAGTTCAGTCTTCAGATTCTGGCTATCTATTTTTGAATAGGAGTAGGCAAGCGTTGCCCGTTTTTAAAAATCTGCCGTAGTTTTCCTGAAAAACTAAAGACAAGACCATAATGGGCCTAAATGTCTCAAATTTGAAGAAAAGTAAATGTAGGCCTGGTAAAATAGCTTTTACAGCCTCTTCTGGACTGATATTTTCAAATCTGCCAACGCTATCTTTTTCCAACTCAAAAATAGTTATAATTGGAAGAATCTGAAGACTGGGTATATAAGCCTTTGTTGTGACGAAAATTTGGGAGAAACGACAAAAAGTTTTTGTAAACCCTCATAACTCAGAAACTTATAGGAGTTGGGGCCCCCAACTTTAAGAATACATTCATCCAATAGTGGTTAAATTTTGGCCACAAAATGAACTTCCTGTGACAAATATTTCTAGGATATGCTAGTAGTCTCACTTTACATTATCCTTAATACATACCTCTCTAATGCTTAACGCCTAGTCTGTGGGAAGCGCTTCTCTTACATCTGTACAGCAAACCATCTCGGCCCAAAACGCCTTTTGCTCGGATCCGGCAAGGAACACTCCCATCAATTTTTTTTATAAAGTTAATGACGGACTTGGGCCGTGGTGATTTTTTGAATCTCTAATAAAATTCGAGGGGGTAGCAACTCCCAAAAATCGCGGCCCGACTATTACGTTTTGAGACTATTACGCGTAATGGATGGGATATTACGTATATTACGCGGCTATTACGTTCTATTACGGACTATTGTGCTACGCGGTTATTACGCTTTGAAAAACAGCGCCAAATCTTTCACGTTGCTTCTGCTTCCTGCAACATACTCGTGTTATGATAAATCCCGCTGTACATTTGCAGTGCACAGTTTTTCTTTTCTTTTTTGGTTATTTTTGAAGGCTGTTCGAAGTTATTTACTGGAACTAGGTCCAAATCAAGTGAATTTTCAAAGTGGTCCAAATCAAGATCTTCTTTCAGAAATGGATTCGTCTCGTCAAGACAAACAAAAAATGTCAACACATCTCATAGGTTTGGACGGGAATGACAACGTTATTGAGCTTCAAAAGTACCAAGAAGGTCATTTCTTGACCATCTTTGCAAGTTTGTAGGTGAATAGCCTTTTTATGTTCCATCCAAACCTATGACATACGTTGACATTTTTTTTTCTTGTCGAGACAAATCCATTTCTGTTAGAAGATCATGATTTGGACCAATTGGAAAATTCACTCAAACCGCTGAGAAATGTTACAAGATTGGATTTCAAGGCGGCACTTGTAACGTCAAGTTGAAAAGATCTCGGGCTAAATCCATTTCCAAAAAGTTTTAGTAAATTTTCAAAATCGTCTAAACTGACTTTGATGTCATGAAATGACTGCCTCTTGACAAGTGTACTGTACAAATTAAGGTGATCGCCAGGTACAGTAAACGCTGTACCTCTAGGTACAGTAAACACCGTGCTTCTAAGTACGGCAAATCCTGTTAATAAATTAACGGAGAATACCCTACATTTTTCGCACAGTGTACCCCCTCCACCCGACTCTGGGGGAATGCCGACAACCGTGCGTGGAGTATAGCCAACGCCATCAGGAGCTGTCAATACTCCCTGACAGGGGCATTTCTGACCTATTACGCGGTTATTACGCGGCTATTACGATAATATTACGTGTATTACGTTATTATTACTGATATTACGCGACTATTTCGGTTATTACGCCGTCATTACGGCTATTACGTTGTTATTACAGAGCAGGTGACCCGACTATTACGCGAGTTGCTACCCCCTCGATAAAATTTCAAAACCTTCTTTTTTATTAGTTTTATAAGATTGTGTCTTTAAGAGCTTGGAAGGGTTGAAAACAGGAAATGGCTACAGAATCTAGTGAAAGTCAAGTTTGGCAGTTTGGGACCCCCAGCCTTTGCCAAAAAGAACGTTTTTGACCAAAACAAATCGCTTTTTGAATTCACATAATACGCCATCTTACTTCTGTACCAGATTGGCATCAAAGGACCCTAAGAGGTTCTTTAACTGTCAGCAAAATATTGGGGATGGCAATCCATAAACACCAGAGATATTGTCATAAAACTCTAAAAGTTATCTTAGTGTTTCCCCAAATGTCACATGCATTGGCCCGGTGCTTCAAAATATCATCCTGGTGTCTCTCCTAACACTCTGGAACCATTTCGAGGCGAACGTCAGCATCACAAGAGTTCAGGCCTATGTTTTCTTGCCATGTAATGCCTAAATTCTTGCAACTCTTTTCATTTTGGCTATATCTTTAACAAACCTTTGGACGCATACTATTTTAATGTAACAGGTTGGTCTTCACATTATTACGTCTACAATTCATTTTGAAAAGATCGTGGCTACCACAACTCTGTGTGCCCATGATGTTACCATCAACAAGCTTTTTAAGCTGTGTTGTCCCTTAAATATGAATATTTTGTAGATTTTTGTTTAATTCTAGTTAAATATATCTTATGGGTTAGTTCTAGTTAAATAACTCTTATGGGATCTCAACCTCCATTTCCCTTTTCAGTTCAAGCTACTGCTAATTGCGCCTTATGTCGGGGGAAAGGCAGTCTTTGAGTCATGGAGTTTTCGATGCATGAGGGATGTTACGATGTGAAGCCGAAGAACTGTATTTCAAAATTATTCTTTGGGACTTAAACTCCATCTCAAGAGTTAACCAAAGGCCCGATTACGTGGGGTAATTAGTTAAATAATTAGTTATAAATTAGTTCCTTGGTGAATAAGGGAGGGTGGGGCACCATGACCACTGGGGCACCATGACCACCCCCCTCGCTCTCGGGAACTACTTTGCCGACGGCAACCGGTCGACCGGACTTTCGAGAGAATAGAATTCTAACTATTTTCAGCCAGAGCCCTACCTCCTAGCTTCAAGGGTACGACCATAGCACCCCGCCGAAATTTTTGTTACAGCATTTTGGCTAAATTGGGCGTTTTTCAAATCTGAGATATTTTTTCTCACTCTCACACTGTAAAAAATGTTCGGAATTTTACCATACAGTGGTCTAGGAAAATTCCTATACATGTATAGGAATTACTCAAATTCCGATACATGTATAGGAATATTCCGATTTGTATAGGTTTTTTGTTATTCGGGCTGAAAATGTATAGGAATATTCCTGTACATGTATCGGAATTTGAGTAATTCCTATGCATGTATAGGAATTTTGCAGCCCTGTATAGGAATATGGCCAACTGAAAAAAAGGAATTTGCTATCAACCTCATGACCAGCGATTCATATTATTGTATTTTGTCTTAACACTCGTAATCAGTGCGATTATTTGTTAAAAACGTACACAATTCACAAAAGCCGCTTGTTCGCCCACTGTCCGGATTATCCGCTAGATGGCGCTAGTGTCGTTTCGACGGACTTACTTCTCGGTGCACGCTGCGGCTAGGAATTTGGTTAGGTCAGGGGGCTCGCGACCCATCACGTTGTAAGAGAGTTGAGGACCTTTCAACCCTTACATCATTTTTACTGAGGTGATAGTACTTTCACCTTGTGTGTCCTTTTGGTAAAGTCGAACTTTGCCAATTTGGAAGACCGTGATGAAGGATCAGTAGTGATCCATGCTCGACGATATATTACGGCGTAAAGTTCGGCCGTTGTATTAAATATCTGACAGTTCATCCGGTTCAGCGGTCTAATTTGGATATTGTGGTGGAAATCCCATACATGCATTGCAGTTACGCCATTCCGATGTATAGGAAAATTCCTATACAACGGATGGGAGAACGCCTATACACGTAATAGTTATAATCCCGTACTGATGTATAGGAAAATAACCATAGGAGTGCATGGTAAAATTCCTATACGTGTATATGTAAATAGCTTCATATACATGTATAGGAATTTGACTAAAAAAAATTTTTACAGTGCACATTTGAGGACATAAGTTCGATGTCTTAGGTTTTTCTCAAAATGTCGGCTCTCCGGCAAAATATCCAACATCACATTTAATTCTAAGTAGCTTTTTGCTTGCTCGGGGAGCCTTAGAGTCGTAAACTGCATTGTGGGGAGCCATGACCACTTTTTAGTGGGGCACCATGACCATACATATTTGAGTGTTTTTTCTCGTATTTTGGCCTGATAATGATTTATTTTTGTCGCAAATTTGCTTTTTGCTTCTGAAATTGTATAAAGGTTGAATAATTGCTGCAGAATAGATAGTTTTATCACAAATCGTGAATCACCAGGATGATTAAGAATGGTTCTGAAAATGAGACTTGAAATGGTAGTTTCTCTTGCACTAAATGAGCTCCAAACCGCAAAAGTTGGCCGCGAAGGCGATCCGTGGCTACTTTGCACCAAGATGGCTCTGGCATTATGAAAAACAGCGTTTAATTCACTTGTTTGCAGTGTAGTAACCGCGATAATTTTCTTAAAATTTACCAAATTGAAATCTGCATACGAATTTGGATTCGTCTTAGCAAGACAAACATAAAATGTTAACACATGTCATAGCTTTGGATGTGAAATTTGAAAGCCTCAGAGCGTTAACTGTTTTAAACCGTCTATTTTAAGGCATTTTAGAACGTTTGATACTTCGAAGGTTTTTACAGTGTTTTTTAGATAAGATGACTGGCCTGATGGTAAGGACAGCGATATAAACAATTTCAATGAGAATACTGGTAGAAAGTACACTTTTTCGGGCCAAAAAATTACTATGGTCATGGTGCCCCACGGGGTGGTCATGGTACCCCATAGGTGGGGCGCCATGACCACTTTGCGTTTTATTTTCCAAAGTGTTATGTGAGCCTGCCGTGCATTGCAGACAAGTTCCAATGGGTGGAAGAGGTCCTTGGAGGTCCAATGAATCCCCTCATGCTGGCAACTTAACTTTTCGAACCACACGGTGGAGTAGAGGGAGGCACAAAAAAAAGTGGTCATGGTTCCCCACCCTCCCTTACATACCAAAAAATTTAAAAACTCCATCCAAAACTAGGAAATTATAGTGCAAATACTTTCAATCCCACTTTCAAACTTCAAAATATTAAGAAGCAAAATGAAAGTTCAGAAAAAAATTATTTTATTTTTATGTAATGTTAACTTGCTAGTGGAAACTTCGGCTCAGCCTCAAGTTTTGACCTAGTAGCTACGTCTATCCTTTCCACAGGTTGTGGTGCCGGGACTGCTCCAAGGTTTCTTCGGAGGACTGCGCAGACCTGGGCCACGTCTTGTGCTCTGTACGCAAGCTGCGCGCGGAGCAGGCGGCGCCCAAGCTGCAGCAACTGGAAAGCGCCGTGGCGTCTGCTTTGAAGGTGGTGCAGGCTTTGGAGGAGGCTAAGGGCTCGGCTGAGGACCAGCTGGCTGAGTGGCGGGCCCGGCTGAACGAGGCCATGGAGGCCCAAAACGAGCTGCGGGCGGCGGCTAACGCGGGCCGCGACGTGTCTGCAGCACTGCCGCAGGGCCTCGAGAAGTGCCAACAGGCGGCTAACCTACTGGAGGCGGAGTGCCAGCTGCAGACGCATCTTCCAAAGGAAACTGGGACAGCGTGGAACCTGCAGCCGGGGGACGGCGGGGGTCTGCTGGCCCCGCTTTTGCTGCACCTGTACCAGCACGGTGGTCTTGACCAGGTAGGGGCATTCCCAAAGGGTGAATCACACAGCGTTCTAGTGTACACATGTGTACGGGCGAGTACACCCTCTAATACTCACAAATTTTACATTTTCAAACGTTTTTTGTCTCCATTTAGCGGTTTAGACGACAAAACAGCGCAAAATAGTGTGAAAAAATGAGCGAATTTTGCTTTTTTAAACTCGGTGTGCTTCTTATCTTTCCGCTCGGGCGAATTTGTATACATGAGTACACTAGTAGTGATTCACCCCTCGGGCATTCCACGTCCATCATGGTCCAAAACGTTCTTGCTCAGACCTGGCCCCAGGGATCCTTAACTTACCTCATAAGGGCATCATAACGTTATCATAAGCGTTAAAGTTATTACCCTTAACTTCGAACATCTTTTCAAAAGGGTAGGTTATTTTTTTATGTCTCGAATTTCTGTGGATATACTTTTGCAAGTACTTTTATAAGTCCGTACCCTTAACCTTAAGCGAACATTGACTTATGTTACGTTATGAAAGTAGTGTTAGTTAAATGTTAAGTTAAGGATCCCTGCCTGGCCCCAAATTTTTTTTAGCCGAGGATACATTTATGTACACAGCTAGACGCTTAAATAGAAAGAGAAATTTAAATTACAAATGTGTCAGAATGCTTGTTTTTTACTCGTTCTTTACACCCTCATTTCAAAATTTAGGTTAATGTGAAGAGAACGAGTATTGTGCTCAAAATCGGTTTTTGTTAGCTACATGATTCAACTCGCTATGCACACAAGGAAAACCATATGTAATGTACTCATTTGAAAGATCAAAGCCTCCTCTTTAAGGCGTAAATGAAGTATTTTTCATTTCACTATGAAAGTTTTTGAGCAAATGAAGATTGAAAATGTTTATTAAAACTGGCTGGTGTCTAGTAATGAGAGGTTATAACACTTCGTTTTTTCGTGATTCATATCGAATTGGCATGTGCCATAGCAAAAATCCACCCCCCTGTGCTTTGTTTAACATTTTTCATTTGAGGATTATCTCTCTTAGCAAACAAACATTTAAAATATCTGCAGTTTTTCAACCTTCCTTTGGACGGCCTGCCGCTAACATCGGCGACCCGTGGCGCCACCACGCGGATTTCAAACGAACTACTGTAATGGCGGTAGAGTTTGAACGTACTTTCATTTCGAGCTTAACAATTATTTAACCACCTGGCCACTTTTGATAACCACTAGACATCCTTCATTCACAAAAAAAAAATGTGTAAAGAACGAGTTATTTATTTAATATCAATTCATTGATATTTCGCACCATCCTTTAAACTTTTTTTCTTTACTTCTTGTTATCGTAGCCTACCACCCAAGAAACACCCCCATAATTTAGTTTTAAAAACATGTCGAAACTTTGCCCGTGGTGATCATTTGATATTCTAAATAAAATTTCAAAACCATTGTTTTCAGGTTTTTTTAATGGTACATTTAGGCGCTCAAAGGGCAATGGAAGGGCATGTGAATAATCTTCGTTATTATTTCTTCTGCACTAGTAAGGAAGTCACACTTTCATGTTTGCATCATTTTACTAGGACTTGCGGAGAAAGCCGGACGCGGTTGTGGAAAGAGCTACGTTTAGTCGTGATGAGCGTCTGAATGTTTCGAAGTTCTGTGTGAATGATAAGGTGCATTCCTGGGAACTGGAGCAAGTTCTGCGGGACCCCAACCTTGACAAGGTGAGCTGCGGGACAATCTGTCATCTTCATTCTAAATTACTCTGCGAATATAATTGAAAAATCACGTTGCTGGGGCCTATATGCAGGGCTGTTAACGTTACTTCTCGATGAAATAACGCATATTTATTTAAAAACTACCTCCGTTGACGGCACGTCGGAAAAGCCTTTCCGGTGTGGAAAGGCCCTTCCGGCGTGTATACAATATTTTTATGATTTCAGACGCGCTGCGTGTGTTGTTCTATTTATATATTATTGACACGCGGCGTTTAAATAATTTTTACCATCGTTGCGTACTCGCAGCGTGTATATAATATCGGCCTTTTTTTGTATATAATCACCACTGGTGCGGGGCTAGGACGACATATAGCTTTGGGCATAATTTTGTGCAAATTCACGTTGTTTTCCTCCCCTCTCCTTTACTCCCGAGCTGGTGAGTGACCGTAGGGGTTGGGATCAAGAAGAAGTTATTGCAGGGGTCAGTTTTAGTCGGCCCGAGATGGCCTGGGGCTCCTATGGCAATTGCCGTGGGCCTGCACGCCTAAGTCCACTCTTTGCACCGTTTCGTGCAAATTTGGGATTTTTCGAAACTTTGGAGCGGCGTAGCGGCTAAACTAGGGGCTAACCTTTAGCGAACATTGACTTATGTTACGTTATGAAAGTAGTGTTAGTTAAATGTTAAGTTAAGGATCCCTGTCTTTTATCAAGGTCATTGACGTGACTGACAGTGAAATGTGGCATAATCACGCTCCGCTTGTATGTTTCAGGTGAGAAATCTGGTTGGGGTGGATTGTAGAAAGAAGCTCAACTGGTGTAAGGTGCTGTTGCAGCGTGTGGCCCCGCGCGTCGTGTGTCTGTATGTTGCTCACGCCCTCCGTTTTCACCTTGACGTGATAAGAAGGATGCCGTCACTACGTTACTTGTGGGTCCACACTTTAAACTGCCGCACTGTAGCGCTGGACCTGCCGCAGCAGCTGGAGGACCTGCATGTGGAAAACGTTGCGAACCTACATCTCCAGTCAATACAGCGCTTGCCTAACCTGCGGAAGCTCACGCTCAAGTGGGCGACTGAAGCGCTTAACGCAAATATCCCCCCTCTTCCTCCTGGGCACCGCGGACTGCAGTGGCTTCGCGTGGTTCTCGAGCCATCGCCTACAGTGTTCTCTCTCATTAAAACCCACGCCGCAACCCTCCAGGAGCTGCGACTCCTCACGGCGTCCGAGGGGGAGTCTAAATGGTGTGTCAAGGACTTGGCCAACAAGCTGCAGAAGTGTGAGCTGGTGGCCCTGCGGCGCCTCGTTTTGCTGAGGGAGTATGCGCCGAACTACCCCAGCGTCAAGATCGTCCACTCAGAGGAGTCGTGCCGAAAGCAGAAGGACACCATCTGGGACAGCCTGCTGGCAACGGACGCGAGAAGGACAGTAAGAGTGGTGGAAGTTCTGTGCGAAGTGTGTGACAAGTGCCCCGCCTTTCCCGCCCTAGGTGACTTCACCTGGCAAGATGTTTAAGTTATTGTTACGGTCTTTTCCCGCCCTTGGTAACTTCACCTGGCAAGATGTTTAAGTTACTGTCAAAGTGCAGGTTTTTAACCATGCATTCTCAGCGTACTTACTGTTACGTGATCTGTAACCTCAGCATTTAAAACATTCACTTGAAAATTGTACTCTCAACCTCTATTTTGTTTGCGTCATTATTGTACTTCGTTAGTAAGTAAACCTTGGCTCAGTGAGAAACGTATGTACTTTCCCACCCGCACCCCGCACTTTTACCCGCACCTTGCATCTACAGGGTTTGTTCCACTCGTGTGAATTTTGTCAAAATGCCAGATGTCTGAAATCATTGTCATAATTCGCGCACCTCTGAAGAGAGAGAGAGAGTTCTAACTTAGAAACTAAACTCTGAGGCAGGTTTCTGACAGCATGACAAAATTTACTCGAGTGTCACACTCACTGCCCTTCACACCTCATGAGCAGCAGCGCAAACACATTTATTTTGAAGGTAACTGCCATCTGAAAATTAAACTTTCGTGCAGAAGAAGCTGCCATCAGTTTTTTTTTTTGTTTTTTTTGTTTCTTTTTGGCTTTGCCTTGAGCTGCTCACTTTGAGATAAACTGAGACCCACATCCCATTGATGCATTCTTTCTGAAACCAAATCAACTTTCCGGGTCAATGTGGAGTTTTGGCCTACCAATTTTTTCATCAAGAGGCCCTCACTAGGAGAGACTCCCTGTAAAATATTTTTGCAATCAGACCAATAGTTTGGGAGAAAATATCAAAAAACCATTTTAACCCATTTTAGCGCAATTTAAGGTTGAAAAATTTCAAAGTTCCAAAATGTTGCTAAATTAAGGTCCCACTTCCCCAATGCTTTTCTTATATGAAAGAGCATATTTAAAAGTAATTTGAGCCACTTTGGAGTCAGCTGACTTTACGCGTTACCCCAATCGTGTAACATTATAGGAAATTTACGCAATTTTCATTTCTCAAATACTCCGACTCAGAACTGGACCGAATCAGGCCCAAAGCATCCTTATATAGCCCTAACTAATATCCCAAGTAGTCATCAAAAATATATTTCATTTGTGGATTCTGGAGCCAACTTTATAATCTTAAGTCTTTGTAACTCGATGAATGACCTGTTTTGGACTCGGATGCATATTTTCTCCATCTGAACAACTCAGATGGAGCTCAAAACAGATTTTTAACTTAAAGTAACTTTCTCTCTTGTAAATGAGCCCAAACCACCTGGAGGAAGGGGTCAAAATTGCCTCACAACAAATTCCACTGCTTTCCGGCAAAATTCCTAAAGCATCAAAAACCTGTCTTTAGACAAAAGCAATGAAATGACCACCAGAAAAAATAATGTTTATCTGATGAGACAGGCCCTTTACCTTATGCTGTTGTTTTCTTCTGGTGGTCATTTCATTTCAAGAAAACAACAGCATAAGGTGAAGGGCCTGTCTCGTCAGATAAACATTAGTTTTTCTGGTGGTCATTTCATTGCTTTTGTCGAAAGACAGGTTTTTGATGCTTATTTTGCTATGTCAAAGCCACATTGGAGGCAGCTGACTTTAAGCGTTACCCTAATCGAGTAACATTATAGGAATTTTGCCGGAAAGCAGTGGAATTTGTTGTGAGGCAATTTTGACCCCTTCCTCCAGGTGGTTTGGGCTCATTTACAAGAGAGAAAGTTACTTTAAGTTAAGAATCTGTTTTGAGCTCCATCTGTGTTGTTCGGATGGAGAAAATATGCATCCGAGTCCAAAACAGGTCATTCATCGAGTTACAAAGACTTAAGATTATAAAGTTGGCTCCAGAATCCACAAATGAAATATATTTTTGATGACTACTTGGGTTATTAGTTAGGGCTATATAAGGATGCTTTGGGCCTGATTCGGTCCAGTTCTGAGTCGGAGTATTCGAGAAATGAAAATTGCGTAAATTTCCTATAATGTTACACGATTGGGGTAACGCGTAAAGTCAGCTGACTCCAAAGTGGCTCAAAATTACTTTTAAATATGCTCTTTCATATAAGAAAAGCATTGGGGAAGTGGAACCTTAATTTAGCAACATTTTGGCACTTTGAAATTTTTCAACCTTAAATTGAGCTAAAATAGGTGAAAATGGTTTTTTGACATTTTCTCCCAAACTATTGGTCTGATTGCAAAAATATTTTACAGGGAGTCTCTCCTAGTGAGGGCCTCTTGATAAAAAAATTGGTAGGCCAAAACTCCACATTGACCCGGAAAGTTGATTTGGTTTCAGAAAGAATGCATCCATTGCTCTCCTAGTTGTTTAATTTTGTTCGATCCCAGGTTCGACTCCCACTAGGGCACATAACAGTGAGTAATGAGTATCTTGAGTTTTACACCATGTTCGACGTTGTCGGGAGAGGTGACCCCAAAGATGCCATGCACTTTGACCAGCGAGCCACCTGACTCCGCACATAAAAGGATCCCGTCGAGTCGTATACTGATGTCAGTCAAAGGAAGCCTGCCGAATGGCCTGTGCTCTCTCGTTAAAAAAATGTACAAAAATATAAAGTGTGCAGAAGAAGGGAATAATTTTGATTTCTGTCCAAGTTGAGTAATTATTCTATTACTGTGCATTTGAATGGTTTACATAATTGCTCGAAATTATTAGACTCGATTCCAAGCAGTAAAGCACAAAATCCAGATGGAAAAACGATGTATCTTAATTTAACCCCTTTTGCCACCGTAAATCCAAAGGCTTTTAGTACTTTTTTTTGGCGATACAATTGAGTATCGCCAATAAACGGCCTTACGGAAAAGTATTGCCTTCTAGACGGCGATACACGAAAGTATCGCCAAAATTTGGTGACACTTTGGAGCAGGGTTGGGAACGCTAACGAAAAAAGTTAGCGCGATACGATACGCTAAGTTCAGACCTGCGTTAGCGTATCGCGCTAACGCTAATCTCCTGGCAAAAATTTAGCGCGATACGATACGATAATCGTCGATAATCGCTAACGATAACCAAAATCATTAAAAAGGTACCTGAAAACGCAAATTGGCTGAAAAAATGAAGGCGCGACCCACTCGGCCGCCTCCTTAGGCCGAATCCGCGGCCCAGCGGCGGCGCGGCACAGTGTTTGGGAGTCGACAGAGTGCGGCCCGCGCGGTTTCGGTGCTCAAGCGTGAGTGGTTCAGGAAAATTTTGGACGCATTTTGTCCTTTAAAAAGAACAGCGTTATCGTCGATACGATACGACGATAGCGGTTCTTCATTAGCGTATCGCGCTAACGCTACCCCCCTCGCAAAAAATTAGCGCAATACGATACGATAACGAATATCGTTATCGTATCGTCGTATCGACGCTAACCAATAAATTAGCGTTCCCAACCCTGCTTTGGAGTATTGCCACGATTTGGCAATAAACGTCGAACAAACCGAGGGTACAAGACCTTAGTTTAATGCCGTGGTTTTGGCAATACCCAAAAGTATCGCCAAATTTTGGCGATACTTCTGTGTATCGCCGTTCCGAAGGCAATACTTTTCCGTAGAGCCGTTTATTGGCGATACTTAATTGTATCGCCAAAAAATGTACTTTAGTATCGCCTTCGCATTTACAGTGTGCGCTCTCAATTTAGCGGAAAATGGAAACAACTCAACCAAAGTCAACATGGATCCGTTAATATTATTGTCCATAGGCAAGAACTAAAAGTTCATGGATTTTTATGAATCTATTGTGAAAAGAATTAATCCACCTTCATTTCAAGAAGTTAAACGGAAATAGAGCTAAGTACAAAAAAAGACACAAGAGGAACCAACACTTTCTGCTGACTATAATTCCATTTGACTTGTCTCCAAATTACACTTCGTTCAAGAAGTACAAGTTGAGATGACTCTGTTCCATTGTAACTGAAAGTGGGAAGTCACAGAAATCCTCTACGGAGTGACCAGACGCTTCTGATTGTCATCTCAATATGTAACTTACCATGGAAACATGCCACCGGCGTGGCTGTGGACGTGCTTGCACTACTGACGCAGTCGGTACTGGCGACACAAGTTCAAAGCCGTCACTTCCGATGAATGACGTCTTATCTCACTCCGCGACGCCTGCGAGTAACGCTTACGGACATTCCAAGCGATCCCGCGGATCATGATTATGAATAACCAATAACCACTCCACACACTTCTGTTCTGAAACTTTTTGGCCTTCCCCCCTTGCTCATGTGGGGGGCCAGGGTTCCTAGCGTCAAACCCGTGGCAGGGTTTCGTTTCAGAGGCCTCAGGGCACGCGCAGAAAGGTGGAGCACGAGCACAACATAAGAATTAATATTTGAAAAACGGAAAACAAGATAATAGGGTTTTGGCTTAAACATGTCAAACATTAGCAAGTTGACTCTATTGCAAGGAGTGAAATGCAGATATGGTCGAATACTCTCTCTGGGTTGTTAGATCATGCTTCGACAATAACGGTCGCAAAAGGGTTTTATTTCGGTCTTCCCATTTTCGGTCCAGACTCTAATTAATACAAAATGCTGATGCACGGTGTTCTGGTAAATGGAATTTTGAACGTAAAAAAAAGGCGTATTTAATGTAACCAGCGAACTAAATTTTCACATGCGTTTCCTGGCTACTTTCATTGTCTCGAAGTCTATTCTCATCGAGGGGGCCTATATGCAGGGCTGTTAACGTTACTTCTCGATGAAATAACGCATATTATTTAAAAACTACCTCCGTTGACGCACGTCGGAAAAGCCTTTCGGTGTGGAAAGGCCCTTCCGCGTGTATACAATATTTTTATGATTTCAGACGCGCTGCGTGTGTGGTTCTATTTATATATTATTGACACGCGGCGTTAAATAATTTTTACCATCGTTGCGTACTCGCAGCGTGTATATAATATCGGCCTTTTTTGTATATAATCACCACTGGTGCGGGGCTAGGACGACATATAGCTTTGGGCATAATTTTGGCAAATTCACGTTGTTTTCCTCCCTCCCTTTACTCCGAGCTGGTGAGTGACCGTAGGGGTTGGGATCAAGAAGAAGTTATTGCAGGGGTCAGTTTTAGTCGGCCCGAGATGGCTGGGGTCCTATGGCAATTGCGTGGGCCTGCACGCCTAAGTCCACTCTTTGCACCGTTTCGTGCAAATTTGGATTTTTCGAAACTTTGGAGCGGCGTAGCGGCTAAACTAGGGGCTAACCTTTAGCGAACATGACTTATGTTACGTTATGAAAGTAGTGTTAGTAAATGTTAAGTTAAGT